CTTTTGACTTATTTGTCGAGAATTGAGTTTCTTTAGACCTGTTAAACATATGGAGGATATCCAAAATAAAAACAGAAAATATTGGAGAAACTCAGAAACACCTGATAGCATTTGCAGAGAAAGAAACAGACACAATATTTCTTTTGCTCTGAAGGAAAGTCACATTAACTCTGCTTTCCTTCCACAGATGCTGACAGGCCTGCTGAGTTTCTCAGACAATTTCTGTTTTTGTTCCAGATTAAAAGCAACTACAATTCTTTTTGTGTTTTTCTCAGGCTGAAAAGTTATGGTTGTTATTCTGTTAAAAAAGGAGAAGAGGGGGAAGTGGAACAGATGGTGAAGCAAAATAAGACATGAGTGCTGACAGTGACAAAGGAGAGACTAAGATATAAAACAGGAGTTACTGACAGGCTTGAAGAGGAGAAAGTAGGTCATCTCCACTGACTGGGTTGTAATTAAAATGGAGAAAAATTTCTTTCTTCCTTGGCCTAAGATTCACTCCCCTACCTCCTCCCCCCAAGTGTGGAGCTGACAAGGGAGTCAACAGGTTGGGGGAGGAGAGATATTCTAGGACTTCCCAGATGTCTGTCTACTTTAGAGACCGTAGTTTCCTCTCCTCTGTTATTAAGGATGCCCTCAACCGCATCTCCTCAATTTCCTGCACTTCTGCCCTCAAACCCTCTCCCCACAACAAGAAGGATAGAATCTCCTTAGTCCTTACATACCAGCGCACCAACTTCCGAATACAATGCATCATCCTCTGACATTTCCGCCACCTACAATCAGACCGCACCAGCAAAAAGATATTTCCCTCACCATCTCTGTTTGCTTTCCGCAAGGGGTTGTTCACTCCGCAACTCCCTCGTCAGCTCCATACTCCCCACCAACTCCTCCACCACCCGGTACCTTTCCCTGCAACCGCAGGAAGTGCAACACCTGTCCTCACACCTTTTATCCCACCTCCGTCCAAGGCCTCAAATAATTCTTCCAAATCCGGCAGAGATTCACTTCATCTAACCTCATCCACTGTATCCATTGCTCCCGATGTGATCTCCTCCATATCAGAGAGATCAAACGCAGATTCATGGACCGATTTGAGGAGCATGTGCGCTCTGCACGCACCAACCAACTTGACCTTCCAGTTGCCATGCACTTTAACTCCCCCTCACTCCCCTGGTGACATGCCCATCCTTTGCCTCCTCCGATGTCAGAGTGAGGCCAAATATAAACTCGAGGAACAACACCTCATATTTTGCCTTGGGAGTTTACAGCCCAAAGGCCTGAATATTGATTTCACCAGCTTCAAAATCTCTCTTCGTCCAACCTGTCCGTCTTCCGACACACCTATCTGCTACACCCTTCCCACTGACCAACCACAATAACCCCCTACCTGCACTACTAGCTTCAAAATATCTCCAGCTCCAACCTGTCCATCTTCCTACTCATCTAACTGCTCCACCCTTTCCACTGACCAATCACAATAACCCCCTACCTGCATCTACCTATCTCCATCTAGGTAATGGCCTAATGGTATTAACATTGGACTGTTAATCCAGAGACCCAGATAACATTCTGGCAACCCGGGTTCAAATTCCACCATGACAGATGGTGGAATTTGCATTCAATAAAGTATCAGGAATTAAGAATCTAATGATGATCATGAATCCCACTGCTGATTGTCAGAAAAACCCATCTGGTTCACTAATGTCCTTTAGGGAAGGAAGCTGCCATCATTACCTGGTCTGGCCTACATGTGACTCCAGTCCACAGCAATGCAGTTGACTCTGAACTGCCCTCTGGGCAATTAGGGATGGGCAATAAATGCTGCCTAACCAGTGATGCCCTCATCCTATTAATGAATAAAGGATCTCACCTACCCAAGCCCCAAACCCCTCCCTCTATTTATTTCTGGATTCCGCCCAGGTCCTGACGAAGGGTCTCGGCCCAAAACATTGACTTTCCTGCTCCTCAGATGCTGTCTAACCTGTTGTGCTTTTCCAGCTCCACACTTATTGAATCCAGATGAAGCAGTAGTTTACTTGTATTTCTTTCAAAAGAGTCCACCATTTTCACTGCTCACAACATGGTCTCCTTAATGTTATGAGAACAAACTGCTTTGCTGAACACTTCCACTCTATTCATAAGAATGATTCCAAACTTTCAGTTCCTTCCTATTTTAACAAATCATCTTGCTCTGATGCTAACATTTCTGCCCGAGGTGTGGTTTTTTTTTCATTCATTTTGTGGGATGTGGGCGTCGCTCCCTGGCCAGCATTTCTTGCCCATCCCTAGTTGGCCTTGAGAAGGTGGTGGTGAGCTGCCTTCTTGAACCGCTGCATTCCTCCTGCTGTGGGTTGACCCACAATGCTATTAGGGAGGGAATTCCAGGATTTTGACCCAGTGACAGTGAAGGAACGGTGATATATTTCCAAGTCAGGATGTTGACTGACTTGGAGGGGAAATTGGAGGTGGTCGTGTTCCCATATATTTGCTGCTCTTGTCCTTCTAGATGGAAGTGGTCGTGGGTTTGGAAGGTGCTGTCTGAGGATCTTTGGTGAATTTCTGCAGTGCATCTTGTAGATAGTACACACTGCTACTACTGAGCATCGGTGGTGGAGCGAGTGGATGTGTGTGGATGTAGTGGCAATCAAGCAGGCTGCTTTGTCCTGGATGGTATCAAGTTTCTTGGGTGTTGTTAGGGCTGCACTCATCTAGGCAAGTGGGGAGTATTCCATCACACTCCTGACTTGTGCCTTGTAGATGCTGGACAGGCTTTGAGGAGTTAGGAGATGAGTTACTCACCGCAGTATTCCCAGATTCTGGCCTGCTCTTGTAGCCACTATGTTAATGTGGTGAGTCCAGTTGAGTTTCTGGTCAATGGTAACCCCCAGGATGTTGATAGTGGGGGATTCAGTGATTGTAACCCCGTTGAATGTCAAGGGACAACGGTTAGATTGTCTCTTGTCGGTGATGGTGCCATGTTTCAGCAAAACTCAATACACATTGGAGGAATAGTAACTCATTTTTCACTTAGGCAGTTGACAGCATTCAGGACTCAACAGTGAGTTCAACAACTCAGAATATGAACATTATTCTGAATTTTGATTACAACAGCGCATCTCTCCCACCACACCCCCTTTCCCCACAACCAAAGTCTCGTACATTTTGCTGTCAGCATGGCTGAACCATTTTCTCCTCTTCAAACCTATCATTTGCATGAATTTTACATCACACTCTCTCTTTTACCACCATTAACACTCCTTTTTGTCTTTTGCTCTGGGCACATTCACCCTCTGTTCCACTTACTCTTCCTTCTCTTTCAAAATCATAGAGGACATCATTTCCCAGCCCCTTTCAGTTCTGTTTCTCTCCTCACAAATGTTGGAATACCTGTTGAGTTTTCTGTTTCTTTTTCAGGTTTCCAGCATCCACAGTATTCTGTTTTTAGTTAGACAGAATATCAGCTGGAGCCTGAGGTTCAATCTAGTCAAATATTGATGGTACCAATTGTAAAATCTAATCAATATTGATAGAATGACTTTGCTGGCTTTGAAGTTCAAGGTGTGGGGCATCACTAGTTATGCTAACAATTGTTGTCTTGAGGATAGTTAAGAGGCAATCACATTGATGTGGGCCTGGAGTCATTTGTTGTTGTCTTGAGGATAGTTAAGAGTCGACCACATTGATGTGGGCCTGGAGTCATTTGTAAAATTGATAGTTTCCTTCCCTAAAAGACATTAGTGAACCAGATGGGTTTTCACAACAATCAACAGTGGTTTCGTGGTCATCTAAAAAACTAAACTTAATTCCAGACTTATTGAATTCAAATTTCATCGATTGTCTGCTATGGTGGGATTCAAACCAATGCTCCTGGAACATTAGCCTGGAGCTCTAGATTACTAGGCTAGTGGCATTATCACTACCACACAACTATGCCCCCCCAGCAGAAGTTGAGTCAGACTATTTTTCAATAAGGTGGAAAAAGATGCAAACACAAGAGACACAAAGTATAGGAAAAGGGAAAAGAACTGAAATACTAGGTTGCTAAACACAGGATGGTCAGAGAGCTTTGAAAACACAGTGAATAGGGGCAAGATGATGGCATATCTAAGGTAACAGGAGTAAGAAAAAAACAAAGAAATGTAGATGCTGGAAATCTGAAACAAAAACAGAAAGGGCCAGAGAAATTAGTTACTACAGTTGACAGAAAATGCTGTGGAAAAAGGTTTGCTCCATTGGGTAGATGGCTGATTTGTGATGCACCTTGACACCAACAGCATGCATTCAATTCCTCTACTCGGTGAGGTCATCATGAAGGCTGTACCTTCTCAACCTCCTTAGCCTGAGGTGTGGTGATCTTCAGGTTAGACTCATCACCAGTCATATCTCTAAAATGACAGAGTAGACTATAGTGACTCTCTTTGCGATAGTTCAAAGCCCAAGAGAGTCTGTTTCAGGTAACATTTCAATCTGTCCAGTACAATGGATCAAATGTTCATTACAAACAACTTTTTTTTCAAGAAACACATTCACAGTTCAAAGTTTGAACTGTAGTGTGACTTACATTGAAAACAAAATCATGTATTGTTGAACTCATACATATATGTAAATTATGTTGTAACAAATATAGAGAAATAAATTCAGCAGCTAACTGGGAAGTGATGGATGGGATGTTATGGGGTACTGCTTACTTAAAGTTATATTAATATTACATCTGAGTACACCCCTTCCTGACAAAAAAATTAGCATTTTGAAATAAAGCCAAGTCATCCATTAGCAATTTTTTTCTACAGGCAACTCAGTCACATAATTAAAATATGGGGATATAAAATTACAGAGTCATAATTTCAAATACACAATCTCAAATCACCTATAAAGCAGCATCTCAAGCGATTTTCCACAAATGGAGCACTGTCAACATGTGAAGGACAAAATTACTGAACACTTATTGTCATACATAAAGTTGTTAACAAATCCAATGATTTAAGGACCAAACTTGCCTTCCTTAATTCTTCATAATCTTTTTCAGACTCCTTTCTTAGTTGAATTTCCTTTTCTAATCTGCAATGAGAAGTAAAACATTTTGCATGTTCCACAGCTCCTGTCACAGCAATTACAACAAAAATCATATTTCATTTTTACAATACTGAATAATACCATAAAACTATAATAAGTAGGAACAGGAGTACAGCCTGGTCTGTCGTTCAATAGGATCATGGCTGATCCTTCACTCCTTGTGACCACATTCTTTCCCTTTCCCCCTAACCCTTGATTACAACACTGAAAAACAATATCTCACCCAGCCAGTTCAAATGAACAGTACTATTAATCTAATGGACGCAATTCTACGATGCAAGCACACAATTGTCGACGATGGCATATTTGAACCATCAGTCTGTCTGGTACAATGGTTCAAATGTCCATTATAAGTAATTGATTTTTTATTCACGAAACACATTCACAGTTCCAACCTTGAATTATAGTGTGGCATACATTGAAAACAAAATCATGTATTGATGAAGTACAGCAATCAGCTTAAATACATACAAATACATAAGTCATGTAGTAACAAATATAGTGAAAGAAATTTTGCAGCTAACTGGGAAGTGATGGATGGGATGTTTAGGGGCAATGATTACTTAAAGTTATATTAATATTACAAGCCAGCACACCCCTCCTACCATTATAGGCACAGATGTAATTCTTGATTCCCCTATTGATCAAGAATCTATCTCAGACTTAAATATACACAAGAAATCTGCCCCCTAAGCTCTCTGTGGCAAGGAGTTCTAAAGACTCTCAAACTCGTGAAGAGAAGAAATTCCTCATCTCAGTCTTAAATTGGCATCCCTTTATTCTGAGACAATGACCTCTGTTCTTAGCCTCTACCATGAGCGGTAACATCAACTCAGCATTTATCCTGTCAAGCCCCTTAAGAATCCTACATGTTTCAACGAGATCCCCTCTCATTTTTCTGAACTCCAGTGAGTACAGACCCAACCTATTTGTGCATGAAAGTTGGTCTGTCCATACCAGATATCATCCAAGTGAACCTTCTCTAAACTTCCTCCAATAATGTAATATCTTTTCTCAGACGAGGGGACCAAAACTGCTCACAGTACTCGAGATGAGGTCTCACCAGTGCCTTGTACAGTTCCAGTAAGACTTCCCAACTATTATACTCCAACCCAATTGAAATAAGGGGCAACATTCCATTAGCCTTTCTCATTACCTGCTGCACCTGAGTGGTAGCTCTTGGTGTTTCATGCACAAATACCCCCAAGTCCCTTTGTGTTACAGCTTTCTGCAGTTTTTCTCCATTTAAATAATACTTTTTTTTGTTCTCTCCTCCAAAATGAACGTCACATTTTCCCACACTACATTCCATTTGTTAAGTTTTTGCCGACTTATTTAACCTACAAAATCTCTCTCACAATTTGCCTTTCCACTTATTTTTGTGTCATCCGCAAATTTAATGATAGTACATTCACCTTCTTCCTCCAAGTTATTTGACTATATATATATATATTTATATATACACACACAAATATATAAAACAATTATGGTCTTAGCACTGATCCCCGTGGAATCGTGCTGGTTACAAGTTGCCAACCTGAAAAAGATCCCCTTATCCCCACTAGTTCTTTCTCATCCATCAACCAATTCTCTATCCACACCATATTACTATCTCCAACACATGGCCTCTTGTCTTATGATTAAGGCTTTTGTGAGGTACCTTGTCAAATGCCTTCTGGAAGTCCAAATACAACACATTTACTGATTCCCCTCTATCCACTCTGGTTCCTCGAAAAACTCTGATAAGATGTCTTGCTGGAATTATTCAGGGCCTTGGTGAGGCCACACTGGAGTACTGTGTGCCGTTTTGGTCTCCATATCTGAGGGAGGATGTTCTGGCTATGGAGGGAATGCAACAAATGTTTACCAGATTGATTGCTGGGATGGCAGCACTGACATATGAAGACAGTCTGGATCGGTTAGGACTATATTCACTGGAGTTTGGAAGAATGAGGGCAATCTCACAGAAATTAGACAGGTACGTATCTGTTAGTCCCAGAAATTAGGCAAGTGTGTAGCAATGCCACAGCAGTAATAATTGGGGATTTTAACTTTAAAATGGATTGGGAGAGACAGACAAGGACCTGTCAGAAAGACAGCAAGTTTCTACAGTGTGTCTGGCATAGTTTCCTATAGCAATATGTCTGGGATGTAAAAACGGGACAAGCAATATTGGATTTGGTAATGAGTAATAAGTTGAACTGAATTAGTAACCTAATTGTGCATGAACTTTCATCAAATAGTTATCATAACATGATCGAATTCAATGTAGCATTTGAAAACAAAAAGCATGAATCACCTACTGGAGTTTTTGGTTTACGTGAAGTGAGATGAAACAGAGACCATCCACAATAACCTGGGAAAATCTGCTCATGGGTAAAATAACTGAGGAACAGTAGAGAACGTTTAAAGAAACATTTAATGCAATACAAATCCTGTTTATACCCTCCAGAGAAAAAAGTTCCAGCACAAAACTTAAAGAGGACTTAAAAAAATGCAAAAAAAGCACAGATACTGCTGAATAGAAAAGATACAAAGACCAGCAAAGCGCCATAAAGCAGTTTATAAGAGCTACTGAAAAGAATTATGGACAGAAACATGCAAGGAGACATTAAAATGTCTTCTTATTTGTTTTGTAGTTACATAAAAGGAAAGCAGGGCATGGTGAATGTTGGCCCAAAAAGGGCTGAAAGTGGTGACATTATCAATCACAATGGGAAAGCAACAGACACAGTGAAAAATAACTGCCTCATAATTTACATTAAGAAAAAAGATAGCTTCCCCGAAATCCTGAGGGAATTACTGGTGGATTGGGAACAGGGGCTGAATAAAATTAACACAAATAACATATCAGTAATGAGGAAATTAATGGAATTAAAGAGTGACAAATCTCTGGGACCTAACAGTTTCCATCAGAGGGTGTTAAAAGAAATTGGGGGGAGCACATTATGGATGTCCTAAATACAATCTTTCAGAAACAAAACAGAAATTGCTGGAAAAACTCAGCAAGTCTGGCAGCACCTGTGGAGAGAATTCAGAGTTAATGTTTTGGGGTCCAGTACCCATCTTCATAACTGATGGTATCTAGGTAAAGGCTGCTATTTATGCAGCAGATGGGTGGGGAATAGGTGGAGATGGAGCCCAAAGAGAGGGAAAAACAGTTGGGCAGACAAAGGAGTGGGTAAAGGTCAGTCTGGGGAATGGATAGGTGCTAATGGGGACTATTATTAGCTGACAATAGGTTGTGTTTGCTCATGTGATGACAAGGCCTGGTGCGTGGGCATTGGGGTAAGGATATGGGAGAAGGTTAAGTCCAGAAGGTTGCAGAGTTTCCATGCAGAAAATGAGGTGCTGTTCTTCCAGCTTGCGTTGAGCTTTGCTGGAGCACTGCAGCAAACCTGAGACAGAGATGCTGGCCAGGGAACACGGTGGCGTGTTGAAGTGGCAGGCAATTGGAAGCTCCGGGTCTTTTTTAGGAACATATAATCTTTCAGAGTTGCCTAGATATTGGAATTGCCCTTGTGGATTGGAAAATTGTACAGCACTCTGCTTTTTAAGGAGGTGAAAGAGGAAAACCAGGGCATTACAAACCAGTTAGCCTAATCATCTGTGGTGGAGAAATTGTTGGTGTCTATAATCAAGGGTGGAATAACTGAACACCTTGAAAATTTTTAGTTAATCAGGGAGAGCCAGCATGTATCAAGACAAACAGATCATGTCTGACAAACCTCATTGAATTTTTGAACGGGTGATTAAGGTATTTGACAGGATAATGTCTATGAATGTGTTTACATGGTCTTACAGAAGGCATTTGATAAAGTCCTCCTTAAGAGACTATTAATTCAGGTAGAAGCCCATGGAATTGTGGCAAATAACTAACACAGCTGGGAAACTGGCTGAGTGGCAACTGACAGAAAGCAGGGCTAATGGGTAGATACTTAAATTGGCAGGAAGTGACCAGTGGTTTCCCACATGGATCGGTGTTAGGGCCTGAATTATTCACATCATTTATTACTGAGTTGAATAAGTTGTTTAAAGTCATTGAAAGTCATATATTCAAATCTGTTAATGATACAAAGTAAGACAGCATTGTAGACGGTGTAGACGATAGCACAAAATTACTAAGGGATATTGACCGTGAATGGGCAAAACTGAGGCAGATGTGGTTCACTGCAAGCAAGTCTAAGATTATCCATTTTGAACCAAATAAAGGATAGATCAGGATACTTTCTGGATGGCATGAAGTTAAATACAGAGGATGTCCAAAGAGACTTGGGGGTTCAGATGCATTGTTCTTTAAAATGTCGTGAACGGGTGCAGAAAATAGTCAAGAAAGATAATGGAATGCTGTCGAATCCATTTTCATTAAACTGCCGCAGCCCCCTCCCCCATGGTATGCATTGCCCTTAACGGGCTTTGCATGTAAATGAATCAATTGGAAAACAGGTGTAATTTACTCATGGCTAATGAGTAGGAAACAGTGGGTTTCAGGTTGGCGACCCGTGACCAGTGGAGTTCTACAGGGATCAATGCAGGATCCACAACTGTTTACTATATGTATTAATGACGGTTGGCAAATGGAGTATAATGTGGGAACATGCGAAGTTGTTCATTTTGGAAAGAACAAAAAATAATAGTACTTAATTGGATAAAAACTGCAGAAAGCTATGATACTTGTGCACAAAACACAGAAAGCTAGCACATTCATGCAGCTGGTAATCAGGAACGTTAATGGAATGGTGGCCTTTATTTCAAGAGGGTTGGAATATCAGAGCAGGGAAGTCTTTCTGCAGCTGTACAAGGTGCTGGCCAGGCCACATCTGGAGTACTGTGAGGAGTTTTGTTTCCCTTATTTAGGAAACGTATCATTTCATTGGAGGCGTTCAGAGAAGGTTCATTGGGATGATTTATGGTATGGAGGGACTGTTGTATGAGCAAAGGCTAAAAAGATTGGGACTCTACTCACTGGAGTTCGGAAGAATGAG